GTTTGTATGAGATATATTTTTAAGTAAAAGACATCTATTTTAACCACAACAGCCTCGAATCCTTTACTGGTAACCCTTGGTGGGATCAGGACCTTGGTATAAATTGGCAAGAACCCATTTATAATTTGCCAATTGCTATAAATAAAGCAATTCGGCTAACAGTATACCCAGAGTAAAACTGTGCTGGTCTTAAAGGTGCCACTGGACTCAAACTTTGTTCTGCTGCTTCGAACCAACATGGCTGCCCTGTGACAGCAACACAAAAGGCGAGCGACACAGTAATGAGATCAACAAAGAAAAAGAACTGTGTACCAACACTGTATATAAATTCCAAACATTCTTCTTATTATAAGCAAATTAATGCACACTTTAATACTGTGTGCACATTAGGACTGTGCCATACAGATAAAATACACAAAATATCTTCTTCAAGGGGATGTACAGAAATGTGAGTACGGTAGTTCCAAGTCACACTATTAGGAACAACGCCTTTACATGTTCAAATTACATCCACATAAATTTATTTCACCATACAGATCTTCCTACTTTCTCCACTTCAGAGGACTGTGTTCCGGTTGAAATCGTAACAGAGTATCCACCTGGAACAAAATTTAATCAGATCTGTTCTTTGAGAAAGCATATAGGAAATGTGTTTGGAGTAAGCCAGCATTCACGTCAGAGAAAAAAAAGATCTGTATGGTGAAAGGATATTATGTGGACTTAACTAGAACACCTAAAGGAGTTGTTCCTCATAGTTGTGACTTCAAACTACTGTACTCACACTTCTGTACATCCTCTGAAGAAGATGTTTTGTGTATTTATCTGTACGGCACAGTCCTAATGTGCATACAGTATTACAGTGTGCATTACTTTGCTTAAAATAAGAATATTTGGATTTTATATACAGTGTTGGTATTTATTTTTTTCCCAACTTATACCCCACCCTCCCCACCAAGGCAGGCTCAGGGCGGCTTACACAGGATAAATACACAAATAACAATCAAATTACCATAAAACATCTGAATGCAGTTCATTAAAAACAATTCAATATTAAAATGCTAGCAACGTTCTTTGATGTCATAAAGATGGAGGTACCACATGAGTGCAAACCATAATTGTCTAAATGTTCAGCTCGCTGACCTTCTCAGATACAATTGGCGGGCACAGGCTGTCAGTAGCAAACCAAGGACCAGGCTCTATAGCTTCAGTTGTTATTGATAATGGTGGTGGCTCCTAGCTGAAGACCTGGTGGAGGAGCTCCGTCTTGCAGGCCCTGCAGAACTGTAAAAGGTCCCGCAGTGCTCTTCCGGGAGCTAATTCCACCAGTATGGAGCCACCACCAAGAGAGCCCTGGCCCTGATTGCAGCCAGCCTGGCATCTTTGGGACCTTGGAGGGTCAATTGGTTTTGTGACCCTGACCGTAGTACTCTCTGGGGTCTATAAGGGGAAGAAGAAAAGAAGAGATTGGATTTACCCCCCGCCCTTCACTACCCAAAGGTGTCTCAGAGCGGCTTACAAACTCCTTTCCCTTCCCCTCCCCACAACAGACACCCTGTGAGGTAGGTGGGGCTCAGAGAGCTCTTGACAGAAACTGCTCTTTTCAAGAACAGCTCTTATCAGAACTATGGCTTGCCCAAGGTCATCCAGCCAGGTGCAAGTGGAGGAGTGGGGAATGAAACCCAGTTCTCCCAGATTAGAGTCCGCGCACTGAACCACTACACCGAACTGGCGGTCCCTCAGGTATGTCAGCCGGAGGCTAAAAAACTATGAGCTAGCTCACACTAACTCAGCTTAGAGGGAACACTGGTGCTGAGTGTCATCCACATATTGGGGGCAGCTCAGCCCGTATCTCCAGATGACCTCTCCCAGAGGCTTTACATAATATTGAAAAGCATGGCAGAGAAGTTAGAATCTTGCAGGACCGCACAGGCCAAGGAGCAGAACCGCCACAGAACAGTGCTTCCCAGGCACAATCCCAAAAGATGGCCCCACAAGAATACTATGATCAACGGTATCAAAAGCCACTGAGAGTCCCAGGAGAATTGACAGCGTCATTCTCCCCCTATCCGCCTTCTGCCACAGGTCACCCACCAAGGCAACCACCATAACCAGGCCTGAAACCCGAATGGAACAGCTCCAAACAATCCACTTTATCCAGGTATCCCTGAAGTTGGCCAGCGAACACTCATTTAGTCACCTGGCTCACAGATGCTCTACCACTGAGCCACGACCCCTCCCCCTCCCCTCTCGCTATGAGGACCCCAAGCCTCCTCCTTGAATTATCTTTAATCCTCTTTCCCCCTCTTGTCTAGTCCTTCTTCCTATGCTCTTCAAAGACACACATGCATACACCCACCTCTCTAGTCATGAGGGAGACAAAATTGGGCATCTTAGCCAGTTTGGTGTAGTGGTTAAGTGTGCGGACTCTAATCTGGGAGAGCCGGGTTGGATTCCCCACTCCTCCACTTGCACCTGGCTGGATGACCTTGGGCAAGCCATAGCTCTGATAAGAGCTGTTCTTGAAAAAGAGCAATTTCTGTCAGAGCTCTCTCAGCCCCACCTACCTCACAGGGTGTCTGTGGTGGGGAGGGGAAGAGAAAGGAGTTTGTAAGCTGCTCTGAGACTCCCTTGGGTAGTGAAGGGCGAGGTATAAATCCAATCTTCTCTTCTTCTTCCTCTTAATTATCAAAAACTCTAGTTAATGGTTGGATTAAGACTTGTCCAAGCAGATATATGAAATATTTTATTTTGACTTGTTGGGTATTTTTATTGCTGTCTTTGAAATGCCTTTTCTGTCTTGCCTTCAATCTAGTAATTTGTACTTGATAAAATTTAACCTTTTCAGAACAATGGACTCATTCTCTCAAGGGGAAAATGCCTTCCCCTGTACAACAGTCCCAATAAAGGACTGTGCTCTGGCAACAGACTCCCGACTGACTTGCTAGAAAACAAACTAGTTAAAAACACAATTAAAATTAATCCTTATCGGGGGTGGGGGGGAAGGATAAGCCTCCTGTTTTTATTGTTTCAATTGATATTCAACAGCTTTAGTGAAGACAAGAGAAGGATTTTTTAACAAAAGAAGTCCTTTCATTTAAATTTCATAGGCAATTAGTTTAGCTCAATATTCTATTGTCCAAATCAATTTACACAGTCTCAACCTGAAGGAATATTATGTACAGCTTTAACAACAAGTAATAAAAAAGGCACAGTGGGCAATTTATTGCTACTTTTTCCTTTACAGGAGCGCCCGCCTGTAGCCGGTCAAAATAACACAGAAGAAAACAAGAGTTAGGGAGCCGGGGGGGGGGGTCATGTAGGAAACTCATAACTTCTGTACAGGCTCTTCAAAGTTGACTGCTTTCACTCTTTGGGAAACCTTAGAAAACAGCAAAAGCGATATTTACCATTGATGGTGATCTGCCCTGCCGACTGAGGAACACCCACAAGTGTCACAGGGTAAAGGCCAGACTCTGCGGGGAGGGAGAGTGCTGCAGGGAGAGATTCGAACTCAACTCCAGTTGTCAGAAGCCCCTGAGAGAGAGGGAAGACAAATGTATAAGAATTAGACTCAGCTGAAAGAAGCCAGTACTGATACGGAAGGCACGGTATGGAAGAAGACCTACTGTGACCTGATCTGTGGTAGCATACGCTGACAAAGGTTTCCACTGTTCACTGCTTAGTGAAGCATGTGTTATTCTCAATTTGAATATGTTAAGAGTTGTGACAATGTTAGTGTTCATGGGTCATGCCTGCCACCTAAGTTCATTCGATTACATGTAACCAGAGAAATTCTTCTTCTCTATCACTTAGATTCGCCTTTACCAGTACCCCCCTCAAATTAGAAAGCCTGTTATTGGATAGTTCAAGCTTTTCACTGTTGGGCTCCAGGACCCTAAAGATGCACCAATCAATTTCAACCCAAATTTCACCACTGGTCTAGCACAATCACAGAGCCTAATTTTGAGCCAGTTTTGACAAGAGCATTGCTTCACCTATCTGTGCCCTGGTAAACCCAAGTGCACACCAAATTATCCATTCCTGTAGTCCATTCTGCTCCTGATCCTCCTCCCATCACTACTGAAATCAGTGGACTTCCTCATCAATACAGACAGACTCTTCTTCTTCTTCTCTCTCATTCAGCTTCCGTCCCTGAGTGGTCCCTCCATGACTTTCCATCGACTCCCCCAGCTCTTCGAATCACAGAATCATAGAATGTTAGAGTTGGAAGGGACCTTGCAGGTCATCTAGTCCAATCCCCTGCACTCTGCACTCTATTTATTTCACAATCTCAGCCAACCAGCCTTTCAGCTAGCTGGTCTTCCCCTACAACATCTTCACCTGAGTAGACAATCCTTCCATCTATTCCCAAAATCTTTATCCCACTGTGCCTTGTGGTCCTTTTGGGAGTAGCCCCTCACCTCTCTCTTCTCCCAGGGTTGGTTTCCCTGGACTACGAACATGGGCTCTTAGGAGAAGTAGGTTGACATCAATATACTGACAATAGCCAGTTCTATATTTCTTTGTACACCTCCCCCACCCCCGCCCTGGGTGCTGTAGAGGTCCTGAACTACCACCTGATCACTTCCCTTCAACAGCAAAGGGTGAACATTGAACCTGAATCATGAAAAGGAGGTGAAGCTAGCTGATAAAGCTAAGGTCTCGAAGGGATGTCACACTTCCTAATTTCAATGGGGTCCAACACACACTTGCTGACTCAGTTAAGAGCCTAGGGATTTTATCGGACTCAGTATTATTAACAGACAAACAAGTTATTGCAGCTGCAAAAACTGTTTTCGTCAATCTGCATTTAGCCCAGAAGATTGCTCTCTACTTTGATCCAGCTGATCTGGGTAAGATGGATCTAAGCCACATGGATCCAAGCCATCAAGCCTGGACTACTGGAATACAATCTACATGGGTCTGCCCTAAAAGTCAACTTGGAAAGTCCAAATGGTACAGAACGCTTCAGCTCAGTTACTATGCAACGCTAGGCAGAGTATACACATCACATCAATTCTGCAGTCACTTCATTCCCTACCTGGGAATCCGGGTTCTGGATTTACACATATAAAAGATGCTCTTCACGTCTCTGCCCTGACTCAGGGACCAGTTTGAGTAATACTCCCTGTTTTGAAGTCCATGTTGTCTTCATAGTGATGAAGGCTGGTCTGAAGTAGAAACCTACCTAAATGAAAATCTGGTAGGAAAGCTGGGACATTTATTGCCAGCTTCCTGCCTCCTGCCCTGGGAGGGCTTCCGGTTATAGTTTTAGGGATTTTAGGGATTAAGAGGATGTTCTAGAACTTAATTTGAACAGAAGATGGGTCTACCACTGTGATTAAACTGAGGAAAGAGGCTAATTCGTAAAGTATCTTTCAGATGAGTGCTGATGACTCAAAACAATGACAAGGCTGTTACCAGCAATCCCAAGATTCCCAAAGCAAGAGCCCAGGCAAGGCTGCATATTTCCTTACATGACACCTTACGGTCCCACCTTTGAGACGGCATTGCATTGGACTTTAATTTCCTTGGAGAAAACCAACAGGCTCTGTGCCTGATTTAACATTCAGTTCTCTCCTTACTACAATACCCCTCCCATACGGCTTTTGTATAAGAAAGTCCCATGATCCCCAGCAGAGCTTTGAGTGGGGGGGGGGTCGAATGAGAACTCTCCTTCCTTTTTCAGCAGCAGCAAAGCTGGTTGGCTATAATCCACTGTGAATGAATTGCATCTTTCTTGCCTTTCTCTGTCCCCTTTTTTTGTAGCCAATAACCGATCTTGTCATTTAGAATTCCCTTCCTTCTTACCCAGTATTGTTCCCAATATGGATTTGTGGGCTCCCTTGTACTTTACTTACAGTGCACTCGGTGTGTGTGTGTGTGTGTGACATTTTTGCCTATACCCTTAGTGTAATATGGCTCCATAATTGGAGGGGTGGAGAGTCTAAAGTAACAACTGCTCCAACAACATATGATTTAATGCTCTTCCACAATCTCTTCTTTCCAGGGGTCGTTTCGTAGAAAAAGAGCTAGGGGAACTCATTAGCATAACTCATTAGCATATGCCACACCCCCTGACATCAGGGGCCCGGCAGTGGACCTGCAAGGCCGGCAGGAGTGCAAGGAAGCCCCGCCAAGGCCCTCCCTGGCCCCAGGCAGGCAGGGGTGGGGAGAGGCGGGGAGGAAGCAACGTACCCTCCCTCTTCTCCTGCCTCCTCCTGGCTGAATGAGGGCCGGAAGCGGGGCAGCTGGAAGCAGGGGGCGGGGCTTCGTTGTGTGCCCCGCCCCTCACCTGGGGGAACTGTGTTCCCCCGCGATCCCCCCGAAATGACCTCTGCTTCTTTTCCCCCTGCAGTATCTGCCCCTTGCATTCCATCTCTCCTTTCCGTTCAGTGTCTTCCTCCCTCCAGCCATTCTTCTCCAGCTCAGTCTCTCCCCCCCCCTGCACTCCTCCTTTTTATCTCATCCAGCCAAGCCTGGCTGAAAACTCTCCCTCATTCATCCCCATCCCTTTCATTGTCCCGATGCAGCCATCCTCCTCCAACAAAACTTAAATCTTCCTGCTTCAAACACAACTCCCTTTCCCTGCTTCTCCCTCTCTCCCGATCCAACATTGGCTTCTCTTATGTTCTTAGTGTGAGCTAGCTCACACTTTTTTAGCCTCCATCTCACTCGTTGTCTCAGCTCAGGAAGGAGGGCTCCAGAGCAAACTAATTTATGCAGTAGCCAAATCACCTGCTCACAACTTTAATGCCAGTTGCTCGCAAAGTAGAATTTCTGCTCACAGGACTCCACAGCTTAGAGGGAGCATTGGCCCAGACCTAAGAACTCAAAACCGGGTTGGGGGAAGCGCTTGAGAAAGGGACCTACACCGTTAACCCCTCGTAAGACAAGAGACAACGAGAGGTATTTTGTCATTGCCTGTCTCTCCGTAGCAACCCTGGACTTCCTTGATGATCTCCCATCTAAGTCCTCATTAAGGACAACCCTGCTTTGCTTCTGAGATCTGACAAGACTGGGCTAGGCTGGCCCATCCAGGTCAGGACAGCCAACACAGCTGTCTTAAAATAGGCAAGATGCATTCCTGTGAACTACAAGATAAAGGTTTCCCTTGCTCGAAAGCCCGTCGACTCCGACTCCCACGAGTTCTTGTATGGTGAGAAATGGAGAAAAGTACTTCTTTCTCTATCTGCTCTATCCCATCTCTCTCTTATATCACAATTTTAAAAGTTGGTGCTGTCACAACATCAAAAGAAGCGTATGCTGTAACTATAAATGTAACTATAAACAAGGCATAGATTACAATGTTTCCTCCTTCAAAGATAAATATGGGACCGTATTCTCAGTTCAGTTTGATAGGAGGAATCCACGTTTGCAAAACTTTTTCAAAAACAGCCTAGAGTTTATGTATTCAAAAACAGCCTAGAGTCAATGGTGTTTTTCCTAGCGGAATTTGCATGTTTGGTATCTCTGTGACGCTAGCTTTCCCAGCCGTTTGGATTGAAAACCCTACGGGCAGTGTTCCCTCTAAGGTGAGATAGTGTGAGCTAGCTCACAGTTTTTTTTAGCCTCCGGCTCACACATTTTTGTCTTAGCTCAGGAAGGAGTGCTCCAGAGCCAACCAATTTATGCAAAAGCCGAATCGCTCGCTCACAACTTTAATGCCAGTAGCTCACCAAGTAGAATTTTGCTCACAAGACCCCACAGCTTAGAGGCAGCATTGGTGCTGAGGTGTTTTCAAGGGTAACATCACGCACAGCATGTCACAGTGGTCTAGCTCTGAGGCTGCAAAAGCCTGCATCACTGAGTTTGAGAAAGGGGAAGATTTGTCAAGACAGCTACAGCTGACAGAAAACACCTGTGGCCCCTGTGCCAACCTGAAATTTCAAAGAGCAGTGCTGGGTCCACCAGCACCCTCGGGCTCTGTCAACGTTGAACCATCCCCAACAAGTGAATCTGATCCCCCCAAAGCATCAGTCTGTCAGAAGAGGTCACATTCCCCGTTGCCGCGGCACATCATCCAAAACAGTTCTACCAGCCTATTTTGATGGCCGAGAACTTCCTTTCCGGGGAACCATGAAAGCACCTTAACGCATTCTGCAGATTAACATTGGACAGGGTGCCACGAGGCAAAAGCCACTAAACAAGGGGTGAAGAAAACCAGTCTAACTATTCACATACTATTTGACAGGGAAGAAATTAACTTTTCACCCGGGGTAACTCATGAGACGATAAACCACAGCTAAAGAATTTCCAAGTACAACATGAACCTTTAAGCCATAAAAGTTTATAGGACAAACACCTGATTATTAATCAGTTCTGTTCTCTGCGTAACTCAGAATTAACCATCTCCCCATTGTGTCTGATCAGTGCTGTGCTGTAATCACACACACAGTGGCACACTAAAGAAACAACAGCAACACTCCATCTATACCCTTTCTCTTAATAACGTCTGTCTAAAATGGAACATGAAATATGAGAAAGAAAATTAAAGGTTCCTTTAAGGACTCTGTGGAAAATTTCAACAAGAATTCTAGCTCATTAGCAGTTTGTTAAGAAGAATTCCAAATGGCATTCTGAACTCTTTCCTAACCACATGAATCTGGACCATTTCTTCTCAGTCATGACATGTGGCTGAAGTGTCAGACCAGTATCTGGGAGAGCCAGATTTGAATCCCCACTCATGCCATGGAAGCTGGCTGGGTACCTTGGGCCAGTCACACTGCCTCTGCCTAACCTACCCCACAGGGTTGTTGTGAGGATAAAACACAGGACAGGAGAATAATGTAAACTGCTTTCGGTCCCCGTGGGAGAGAAAGTCAGAGTATAAGTGAAGTAAACAATTAAATAAATGATGCATGCAATGGCTAGTTTGTCATTCTCGCAGGATGTCCCACAACCTCACACATTTATAGTAAAAGGTAAAGGTTCCCTTGCTCGAAAGCCAGTTAAATCCGACTGTAGGGATGCGATGCTCATCTCCGTTTCCAAGCCGAAGAGCCAGTGCTGTCCAAAGACGTTTCCGTGGTCATGCGGCCAGCATGACTAGACGCCAAGGCACACAGAACACTGTTACCTTCCCACCAAAGTGGTAACCTATTTATCTACTTGCAATTTCTGGTTTTCGAACTGCTAGGTTGGCAGGAGCTGGAACTAGGGACGGGAGCTCACTCCGTCATTGTTGTGAGGATAAAACACAGGACAGGAGAATGATGTAAGCTGCTTTGGGTCCCCGTGGGAGAGAAAGCCATATAAGTGAAGTAAACAATTAAATAAATGATGCATGCAATGGCTAGTTTGTCATTCTCGCAGGATGTCCCACAACCTCACACTTTTATAGTAAAAGGTAAAGGTTTCCCTTGCTCGAAAGCCAGTTGAATCCGACTCTAGGGATGTGGTGCTCATCTCCGTTTCCAAGCCGAAGAGCCAGTGCTGTCCGAAGGCATTTCCATGGTCATGCGGCCAGCATGACTAGACACCAAGGCGCACAGAACACTGTTACCTTCCCACCAAAGTGGTAACCTATTTATCTACTTGCAGTTTCTTGCTTTCGAACTGCTAGGTTGGCAGGAGCTGGTGCTAGAGACGGGAGCTCACTCCATCATGCGGCACCCGGGTCTCGAACTGCTGAACTACCAATCTTCCGGTCTGCAGTTCAGTGTCTTAACCACTTGAGCCACCACAGCCCATTCACACTTTTATACCCTTGCTTATAATTTCTCTTTAATCAAAGTTCTTTGAAGTTCCTCCAAGAAAAGCACTGCTGTCCTGTGCAGAGTTACTCTAGTCTAATCCCATTGGTTTTAGACAGGAATAATGCTGCAAAGGACTGAACTGTAAATGTGCATTCTTCCTACCCTTTATAGAGGTCAGACTGAAATACTGATGGATGTGTTCCTTTGATTATTCCAAAATCATTATACCTATTTTTTTCACTTTCATATATCATGTAACCCTTAAAGAACAGTCTGTGATCTCACACGCTGGGATGGATGCTCTGCCGGTGGAAAGCACTTGCAGTACCAGGACAAATCAACTCGATCTGACTCATCACTTCCTCAGGAGTCAGAATGAGTCTGCAGAATTGGTGATGGGAAGTTCCATCAAGTCACAGCTGATTTATGGCGACCCTGTAGGGTTTTCAGGGCAAGAGACTGTAATGATTTCATGTTTAATTGTGTGTGTGTGTGTCTTTAAAAGTTTGGTTGCATGGCGATGAGAGATAGTCTAGAGTGGTTGAAACAGGGTTTTCAGGGCAAGAGACAAACAGAGGTGGGTGGCCATTGCCTGCCTCTGTGTAGGAACCCTGGACTTCACTTGTGGTCTCCCGTCCAGGTACTAACCCACCCAGCTTGGATTCCAAGATCTCACAAGATCAGGCTAGCCTGGGGAATCCGGTCAGGGCAGCAGAGGTTCAGAGGAGGGTTGTCACTGCCTGCCTCTGCGGAGCGACCCTGGGCTTCCTTGGTGGTCTCCCATCCAAGTACTCACCAGGACTGACCCTGCTTGGCTTCTGAGATCTGATAAGACTGGGCTAGCCTGGGCTATCTAGGAGGGCAGGATTACAGCGGTAAATGATATGCCGGTTTGGACATATTTTAGGGGCTCAGGCGCTTCTCCCCTCACCACAGTTTTTTACTGATTCAAAATTATCCGCCATGTTCAGTTTTTAAGCTACACAGAGCACAGGAGGCTTCAGCAAAAGGAAGCAATGAAAACAAAATAATTGCCAGTGGCAAAGCGATATACTACAGAAATTGCTGTTGTTCAGTCGCACAGTCGAGTCCGACTCTTCGCGACCCCATGGACCAGATCACGCCAGGCCTTCCTGTCTTCCACCGTCCTCTGAAGTTTGCTCAATTTCATGTTCGTTGCATCTGTGACACTGTCTACTACAGAAATATCTGACTGCAATTAAAAAGGGTTTTATTATTGATGTACATTTGAGAAATATTTGGAGCCTTATGTGATGTTAAGTCATATATGATTCTGTGAACTTAGGCAGATTATGAGAGGGAGGGCAGGAAGGGCTGCATCAGTGCTTACTTCTTGTGGCCCTTTCTTACATGCCCGGGGAAATGCTGATCACCACTTTGGGGTCAGGAAGCAATTTTCCTCCAGGCTGGTTTGTCTAGGGATCCTAGAGGGTTGTGGGGGTTTTTTTAGAACAGTGGTCATTGTGGGTGGGGAGGGGGAGGTATTTGTGGATTTCCCGCCTTGTGTAGGGGGTAGGACTAGATGACTCTGGGGGTCCCTTCCAACTCTATGATTCTATGACTCTATGACTCTAAATGAATGGTATGAAGAACGTACATTTAAGATATGTTTCCTAGCCACTGTCCCATTTCTAATGGGATGTACTTGGACCATTGCCATATCCTAGTTCATTGGCTCTTCCTGTCTGATGATCTATGGCACAATATAACAAGAGATGGCCTCGACGAACACGACTGGCTGCTCGCTTATGTCAGTGATTTTAAAGCAGCAGATTATGTCACACTAATAGGCCATTGGAAACTTCCTGGGTGTATATCAAGGACACTGGAAATTAGTTTGGGGGTCAGTATAGCAAAGGGCATTGTAAAATGCAAGGTGGAGGAGATCATGGCTTTCAGACGGGGAGCTCATGTCTAGATCAAACCAAGGCTGAACCCTCCCGAGAAGTCACTGTCCTTTTGGTCACAGTTTGAGAAGACAAGAGTCGCTGGGAAAAGCCAGCAATGCTGGGAAAAGCTGTAGGCAGCAGGAAGAGAGGAAGACCCGACATGACATGGGATGACTCAATCTAGGAAGCCATGGGCCATCCGTTTGCAAGGTCTGAGCAAGGCTGTTAATGAGAGGACATTTTGGGTGAAGACTTTCCTCAGTGATCCCTCCTTCCAGTTTGGTGTCGTGGTTAAGTGCGCGGACTCTAATCTGGGGAAACCGGGTTTGATTCCCCACTCCTCCACTTGCACCTGGCTGGGTGACCTTGGGCAAGCCATAGTTCTGGCACAGCTGTCCTTGAAAAAGAGCAGTTTCTGTCAAGAGTTCTCTCAGCCCCACCTACCTCACAGGGTGTCTGTTGTGGGGAGGGGAGGGGAAGGGAAAGGAGATTGTAGGCCGCTCTGAGACACCTTTGGGTAGTGAAGGGCGGGGTATAAATCCAATCTCTTCTTCTCTTCTCTTCTTCTTCCTCCTCCCCAATGTTTTAACTGCTTGTATCTTTTTGTACTTATTTTATGCTACTTTAAGCTTATTTAACTTGTTTTTATCATATACCTGTGTGTGGTTTCGATGGCTTTTAAGATACTTTAATATGAATGTTTTAATTTGTTAGCTGCTTTTTTGGCTGCTGTGAGAGCAGAGCAGTGAGGTAAAAACCTTGTTTATAATGAATACATAGTAATAATAATCCACACAGCAGCATAACATGTGAATCATATGCAATGGAATAAAACAAAATATCTCAAATAGAAACAGCTGACACCTTTGTACTGATTTAGAGAAAGTTAAAATAAGTATATTTTTTAAAAAATACTTTAAAAACCAATAAAGATGGTTCACAGAAGTCACCATTGATTGCTGTGTGGGGAACAAGAATAATCCCTAATCTCCTTCAGCACAACTTGGCAAGATTTTGCCCACACTGCCCTCTGGTGAGTAGAATCTTTGGAATTTAAAACCAATGTTTGGTGGAAAACTAACCAAGATTGCCATTTACCAAGGATGTAAAACGTACCATGTTTTCTACACGAAGTTCAAAAGGCATTGGATTATACACCATCAACTGAACTTCACAAACATCTCCTTGGACCCACTGAAAATCTATATTTTTTTAAAAAAAGATAAACAGAAGATTAGTTTCACAACAGAAGGGGAAAGCATAGAACTCTAAATTAAAACAGACCTGTTTTGTATGATTACGCATTTTGGCAGAGATGTTCTCTCTCTAACTCCAAAATCCCAATCCTGTGATCAGAATCATCAAACCGATTCCCCCCCTCCCCGAAAGCCCATTTAAATATCAAAAAGGGGAGAAGCCAACACAAGTATGCTTTTGAGCATGCGTAAGTGTTTTCTGCCTTCAGGAAACTTTCCAGGTAAAATAGCAATCATCCTAACATGCACAGCATATAACCTCAAACTTCTACGTTATCTCCATAGTAGCACACGTTGTTCGTTCACACTGTATTGTGGAGACTTGTCGACTACAGCAGTGGAGCATATATGAGGACACCCACTGAAGTTGGGAGGGAGCAACATCACCTGCTGTCACCTGCATATCTGAGAGGCCCTTAAGCTTACTTGTGCTTGCTGTTCATGTGCCATCTTCCAAGGTTTCATTCTAAAGGTGAATCATGGCTGTTGATCTAAAATTTATATTGTGTCCCAGGCAAGTCAGAGAAAAGCAGCAAGATGGGCAAGGAGGAGAGTCGTGCCAGATCACGGCAGCGACCTCCAGAATGAAAATACCTTGCTTTGAAGTTCTTGTTGGGCACTCACTTTTGCCTGCCTCTAATAGACAATTTGGAAATTTTGTGGGGCGAAGAAGAAGAAGAAGAAGGAGAGGAAGAAGAAGAGGCAGAAGAAGAAGAAGAAGGAGAGGAAGAAGAAGAGGCAGAAGAAGAAGAAGAAGGAGAGGAAGAAGAAGAGGCAGAAGAAGAAGAAGAAGGAGAGGAAGAAGAAGAGGCAGAAGAAGAAGAAGAAGGAGAGGAAGAAGAAGAGGCAGAAGAAGAAGAAGAAGGAGAGGAAGAAGAAGAGGCAGAAGAAGAAGAAGAAGGAGGATGATATTGGACAGAAACTGCTCTTTTTCAAGGACAGCTGTGCCAGAGCTTGTGACTGACCCAAGGTCACATCAGCAGGTGCAAGTGGAGGAGTGGGGAATCAAACCCAGTTCTCCCAGATTAGAGTCCGCGCACTTAACCACTACACCAAACTGGCTCCCGTGCTACCGTGGTAGCTTTCCACGGTATATTCACACAGGTCATCGAGTGAAAGGAGAAGATATTACAGAAGTACAAGGCAAACGAGGACTCAGAGGTGGACTGATTCATGGAGGAGAGGCCCATCAAGGTCTACTAGCTCTGATTATTAAAGGGAACCTCCACATTCAGAGGCAGTAAACGTCTGAGTATCAGTGAACACCAGGGGAGGGTCTTGGCCTCTATGCCCAGTTTGTTGGCCCTCTCTGGCAACTGGGTGGTCCTCATGTGAAACAAAATCATGAACTAGATGGACCATTGTTCTGATCCAGGAGGACATCTCTGATGTTCTTAGGTAATTACTTACCAAGCTTGGACCATCTCCAAGCATAGAACATGAAGGAGAGAAATTAAATTTGGATTTGAGAGGCCGGGGTGAAAACTCTGCTGCTGCTATTAAATTCTTGTGAAGCTTTAAGCGACTCAGTTGTTGTAGATTTTCTGGGCTGTCTGGCCATGGTCTTGGCACTGTAGGACCTGACATTTCGCTAGCAGCTGTGACTGGCATCCTCAGAGGTATAACACAGAAAGATGGGAATACTCTCTGTGTCAAGGTGAGAAGAAAAGGTGGTAGGCAGGTAATTTATATCTACTCAGGAAGGTGGGGTAGGGGCTGAGTTCATTATCTTGTAGGAGTTCCCCAGGCTGTGAACATGCTAATGGAGGGGCTTAAAATAACAGGGCATGGTTTCTTGTCGTGAAAAACACAAAATGCTCTACATCTTACAATAGCACTACAGATAAGATTAGAATTTCAACAGCCAATCCACATGCAAAAGAACCTCCTCAGGAAAGGAGACATTTGAACACCAGTTCTTCGGGAGAAGGTGACAGGGTACCAGCTGGGCCCATCCACTTAGATTATTCTGCCTCTTATGGACGTGGACAATAGTCTGGGAAGTCTCCCTCTACAAGGAATGCAGTTTGCAGTGCTACATTACCCGGAACTGTCCCAGGCAATCTACAACCTTTGTGGTTCTTGGGTTTATATAAGGTAGGAAAGAGGAGGGGGGGAAATTGTTTGGTATTCTTGCAGTCATTTTGAATGATTTCTATGAAAAACTTAAGGCACTTGTACCTTTAAAAAGACAGCACTGGCCTAATGCCGGGGGGGGGGAGCTGAAACATAGCCAAGACGGATGCAAGGCATCTGTGCCAAGCTGTCTAGTCAGTTTTATAATCAAGAGGAGGAAATAGCATATTGATCCGAAACTGGCAATCGCCATTTGATTCAATTTGCAGAACAAAAGCCGGGCCGGCCTGCAAGAAGCAGTGGCATGCCGCATGCACAGGTGGGATGCATTTTAAAAGCTCGTAAGGACCAGGAATCATATTTCTCACCTATTTTTTTACTTCGCTCCTCTCCGCGATTGTGAGCAATGATGGGAGAATATATAAAAGGACTCTTGGTTGACATGTTCTGGCCCAGCAAGCTCTTCATTTTTTGTGGTCGAAGGCTGACGGGGAGGTTTAAGAGCTTGACGGATCTGTTTAAAATGATGAACAGCAAGACAGTTTTTAACGCGGGCTTGTTAAACCCCTATAAGCAAATTGTCACTTTGCAGAGAGAATTAAAATGACTGATGCAGTTGAAAAGGAAGAAACAAGGCAAGCCATGGGGACAACAAGGAAGCCCTACTGGGGACTGGAGAAGATCGAAGTCTACACGGAGCTTGGAGACCGACAAGATTTCCCGGGGATGCGCTTTTGAGAGTCAAAGTTCCCTTTTGTCAGATCCGACAGGACTGGGCAGGGTTTGGAGTCCAGGAGCACCTGGAGCACCAACAAGACTTCCAGATATCTGACGAGGGGAGCTTTGACCCTTGGAAGCTCACACCCTAGGAATCCTTGCTGGTCTACAACGCACTACTGGACTCCAGTCTTGCTCTTCTACTGCAGATCAACATGGCTACTGACCCGAAACCACTGGGGGAAATTTATTCCCTGCTTTTCTACCCTCATCAGGGCCACCGAGGCAGCTAACGAACTGAAAAGACACATCATAAAATACCCTTAAAAACCTTAACAACCCTCCCCCCAAAAACAACCACAACAAAACATATATGGAAACCGATACGCGGCAGAGCAAGATAAAGGAGGAGCAAAAGGAAGATGAAGAGGAGGAAGAAGAGGAAGAGGAGAAGGAAGAGGAAGAGGAGTTGGCTTTACACCCTGCCCTTCACTCAGAGTCTCAGAGTGGCTTACAAGGAAGAGGAGGATAAGGAAGAAGAAGAAGAAGAAGAAGAAGAAGAAGAAGAAGAAGAAGAAGAAGAAGAAGAAGAAGAAGAAGAAGAAGAAGAAGAAGAAGAAGAAGAAGAAGAAGAAGAGGAAGAGGAAGAGGAAGAGGAAGAAGAGGAAGAAGAAGAAGAAGAAGGAGGATGATATTGGATTTATACCCCGCCCTTCACTTGGAGTCTCAAAGCGGCTTACAAACCCCTTTCCCTTCTCCTCCCCACAACAGACACCCTATGAGGTGGGTGGGGCTGAGAGAACTCTGACACAAACTGCTCTTTTTCAAGGACAGCTGTGTCAGAGCTTGTGACTGACCCAAGGTCACATCAGCAGGGGCAAGTGGAGGAGTGGGGAATCAAACCTGGTTCTCCCAGATTAGAGTCCACACACTTAACCAGTACACCAAACTGGAGGAAGGGGAGGAGGAGGAAGAGGAGGGGGAAGGGGAAGGGGAAGAAGAGTTGGATTTATACCCCGCCCTTCACTTAGAGTCGCTTACAATCTTCTTCCCTTCCTCTCTACACAACGGACACCCCTGTGAGGTTGGCGGGGCTGAGAGAGCTCTTTCAAGAACTGCTCTTGAAAGAACAGTTCTGAAAGAACTTGTGACTGGCCCAAGGTCAAACCTGGTTCTCCAGATTAGAGCCCTCCACTCTTAACCACTATACTAAGCTGGCTTTGCATTAATAATGATGTTGTTTCTTCTGAGTCATCATGACTATGCATATATTATCTAGAGCGAACTTAGTGTGGGAGTTAATGAGCGGGCAGAGATGGATTGTCAGGAGATAAGATGCAGTATCAATGGCCGCTTGAGCCAGTGTTGTCTCAGCACAATAACTGCTTACAAGATGCAAGACCAAGGGTGGTCAGACTTGCTTAACGTAAGGGCCACATAGAATAAACATCAGATGTTTGAGAGCCGCAAGACCTGAACACACACGTTTCTATTGAAAAATTTACAAACTTGCATCTTAAATGAAAGAGACCCATGCCTTCTCCGAGCCAAGCCAGTCTGCCAGTGTGGCGGGGCTCGGAGAACACATTTAACTTTAGACGGGGAGGGAGGGGGAAAAGACGGAAAGAAAGGTGGAAAGAGCAAGAAAGTGGAAAGAAAGTGAATAGATGGGGGAGGGAGAGGTAGAAAGAAAACAACTTTAAATTTAAATGCATCCCCCAAAGCCCCCCCCCCATGCCCCAACACCAGCTTGGCTTGGCGAAGAGATTTAAAGAAACGAATGCCTCCTCCGGAAGGAAGTAAGGAAGGAAGGAAGGAAGGAAGGAAGGAAGGAGGGAGGAAAGAACACTGGCTGGGGAAGGGAAGACCGATCGGGGAGGCCTGCCTCCCCTTTGCTTCCCCAGCTGCCCTGCTGGGAGCCACATAATATGCAAAAGAGACACATGTGGCTCCCTGAGCCACAGTTTGGCCACCCCTGCGCAAGACTGTCGTATTCCAGAGATCATTCAAAAGCTCTGCTATGATGATCTGCAGGAGGACGTCACAAGGAAGAGCCCACCCTCTGGGAAGCAAGCTATGAAAAATGGATAGGTGCCATCCATTCAGATGCTGATGAGTTGTAAATACAGCTTCTTGAACTACTGACTTACCTGACGATGGGTAGTTTAGTGAATGGAACAGGTGGAAGCTTCAAGCCATCTGGAAGGGTAATGAATTCCATTGTCCCGGGGCATTTTGAAGTATAATTTTCTAAACTCTGTGTCACATCTTTCTTTTCTGAAAGAGAGGGGAATTCTCCATTACGCCTGCCTCAAAACTGCAAAATGTGAACACACAGAGTTGGATCCAACCAGCTTTTTAACTCAGCCCTACCTAATTCTTCTCCTTCCTCGGCCATGCAGGTCTCATAATCCCTAGCATAGCTTCTTTGGGTGGTCAAAAGGGGCCCTTTTCCTCCTGGTTGGATCCAACCACACTCTGCCCAAGGTTACAGTTTTTACCCAATATATTTTTTTCATTAGCTTTGAAAGTCTGTACAGAACCAACCACACAATGAATTAGATGCCCCCTCTGAAAAAACAGAGGAACCAACTGTCTCAGTTTTAATCATCCTGTTGTAGTTAAACAATATTTAACGCCCTTCAACAACATAACCAAGAAAAAATAATTGGTTTCGATAGAATTCCACAAGTGATTTTGTTGCCCGTGCCAAAGAGGTCTGTCCAACTCTTCTTTTTAGCAATTATTTTAATGTCCTGCAAAACACAGACTGATTATTGTTACTATGTTTTAAAGTGATGCCATCATTGGTGCATATGGTACTTTACAGAGTAATATAAACACAGGTGTTATGAATGAGACTGATATTTTGCTTTATGGATTTATATTTGCTGTCAGACACTACGTGGACTGTGGACAGACACCCATAGGCTCACAGAAAGATGAACAAGTCAACTGTTGTGAGATACACATAGAAGGTGACTGATCTAAGCCTTACATGTTAATAAGGTTTCAAATACACAGCTACTAGCCTGAGGGAGAGAAGCACACATCGCCATTATTGTCAGCAGAAACAACAACTTAGGGAAAGCATCCCCCATTGATGAACTGTTGAAAGACACGTAGTACACACCTCTGCTTTACATCTGAATGAGCATTTCCTGCCAGATACCTCTTTGATCATCTGGGAAAGGCCAAGCTTCATCTGCACATCAAGGAAGTTCCCACTTATCCAGATGCCATTCCTTGTGTTAGATCTAGTGTTACAATATTGGCCCAACCCTTTAGGTTGCCACCCCTCACTGCACGCAGCCAATGAGGTTAGTTTTGGGACGGACTTACAGGTAGGTGGGTCCACAGGCTGGCATAGTTACCATCCACCCAAAGATTCACCTATAAAAGGTGAAGACCAGCTGTTTGGCCGCTGCTAGCCGCCTTCCCCCACTGCCCCCTGTCTGCTTTTAAACTCCTCTCAAGTCCAGCTTCCTGTACCAAAACCCTTGCTTTTACTTGATCTCTTGATCTGCAGTCGAGAGACCCACACTAGCTGGCTGGTTCTAGCAGTGTGTTAAATATCCCTAGTCTATTTTTCTGACCCCTCATTCTTCATTGTGACGTCCAAGCTTCAGGACAGATAAGTATTGCTCTTTATCACCCCACCTGTGAATGCAAAAGTGATTCTTTGTAACCTTGTATTCCTGAAGAACTTGATTGAATGTGTGTGCGCTTCAGTATTGTGTGTATGTGATTTATATATTCTTAAGTAAAAGACAGATTATTTTGGAACCACCAGCCTCAACTCTTTTACTGGTAAATCCCTGGGGTAGACTGGACTTGGTATAGCTGGCAATTACCCAGAGTAAAATTTGCCAACTGCTGTAGATAAAGCAGTCCGGCTAACACAGGGCCCCTGCCCTGAAGAGATTAAAATGGAAGAGAAAGAAAAAATGACGGGAAGAGAGGGAGACCACGAAGAAGGAGGAGGAGGAGGAGAAGGAGAAGAAGGAGAACGAGAAGAAGACGAAGAAGAGGAGGAGGAGGAGGAGTTGGTTTTTGTACCCCACCCTTCACTACCTGAAAGAGTCTCAGAGTGGCTTACAATCGCCTTTCCCTTCCCCTCCCCACAACAGACACCCTGTGGGCCTGAGAGAGCTCTCTTGAGAACTGCCCTTGAGAGAACAGCTCTGAAAGAACTTATGACTGACCCAAGGTCACACCAGCAGCTGCATGTGGAAGAATGGAAATCAAACCTGCTTCTCCCAGATTAGAGACCACGCTCTTAACCACTACACATGAGCAAATGCAGTTAGACTTGCTTAGGCTTATCCTCAGTGGGTAAAGGAGTCTAAGCTGAAGGTAAAAGGGTTTCTCCTTGTTTAAAGTGAACTTGTCTGAAAGGTTTCATGTTCTGTATGTTCACTAAACATTTGTCATTGGAACATCCACTGCAGCATACCTCTTGCAGGTACGGGACTTTCACCTGTAATCCCCAAATGAAACTTGCAGCTACGCAGAGTTCTAAACCTTGAACAGAATAGGATGGGGGAGGGGAGCAATGCTCCCTCTAAGCTGTGGAGTCTTGTGAGCAAAAAATCTACTTTGTGAGCGACTGGCATTAAAGTTGTGAGCGAGCAATTTAGCTACCGCATAAATTAATTTGCTCTGGAGACATCCATCCTGAGCTAAGGCAAAAATGTGTGAGCCGGAGGCTAAAAAACTGAGCTAGCTCACACTAATTCATCTTAGATGGAACACTGGAGGGAAGACTGGCACATGCGTTTCAGCCCATTATCAATCCCATTAAATCTGGTAAAGGGATCAGAAGCGTTGGCTCTGGACAAATAACAGGGTCTAAGCAGTCAGGCTCAGGACTCGGTCAGAAAAGAGCTTCTCAAAGATTAGATGTGGCAAAAGATCTAGAATCCCCCTCTTGCCACTTGGATCACTTCACTAAGTTGCCCCTGGAATTGTGAGCACTCCAGGCACAGTAGTAGAATGTCTGCTCCTCTTGCACCACTAAAGAAAACTGCCAAATTTCTGTAATGTGTGGATTACACACTCAGCACACTGCAAACAGCATTTTAGAACCAGAGTTTAGATTACATAATTTCTGGTATCTTTCAGAATTAGAATTTTATCTGAGAAGAAGGAATTTACTATATTAACAAGTTTGAGAGGATAGCGATACTGGTCTGCTGCAGATCAGCTAGATTCGAGTCCCAAAGCACCTTAGAGACCAATGAGATTTGGGGGGGTACAAACTTTTGAGGGTCGAAGAGAGCTAAGCTTCGGCCCGCAAAAGCTTATACCCTGAAAATCTTGATAGTCTCGAAGATGCTACTGGACTTGAATCAATCTTCTATATTAACAAATCAAGGGGGAAATATGTTTTATGCTAGAGCTTTCAATTTTCAAGACAACATTATTAGTAAACTTTTGTTCCCCTTTTCTTAATCCTTGTTATCGTTGCTATGTGGACCCGGGGGGGGTGGGGACGACGGGACGAGAGCGACCATCACTGTACCTGTGCAACCTCTTAATAATTTTTAGAAGAACTTTAACAGTCTGCAGTTCTGTCCTACACATACCCCACCTAGATTTAACTGTTTTGTTTTCTTATTTGTGGTCTCTACTTTGTATTCTTTCACATATATCTGTTACAGAAACATTTGTTGTGGTGCATCATTTTGTAATTAAGAACACTTGGGCAATAAAGAGGTCGACTTGAATGAAGACTAACTTTGATCCAATGCCTACCTGTAACGTTTATTTACTTATTTATTAGTTTAAATCACCATTCACCTGAAGGGTCTCATGGAGACTTACGACATTAAAAACCAATAATGTAAAACAGCATTAACATTGAAATATTAAATTATTATATAAGAACATAAGAAGAGCCGTGCTGGATCAGACCCAGGATCCATCTAGTCCAGCATCCTGTCCCACACAGTGGCCAACCACTTCCTCTGGACAGCCGAGGCCTTCCCCTCACATTCCCTTCTGGCTCTGGGATGTGGAGGTTCTCCTCAGTCACCATAGCTAGTAGCCACTGATAGACTTATCCTCCATGTATCTATCTAATCCCCTTTTAAAGCTATTTATTCCTGCGGCCATCACTACATCCTCTGGCAGTGAATTCCACATTTTAATCACTCTCTGTGTAAAGTAGTATTTCATTTTGTCCATCCTGAACTGTCCTTCAGTTTCATTGGATACCCTCAAATTCTAGTATTTTGGGAGAGGGAGAAACATTGCATGGTCTTACTGTATGGAGTGGGACAACTCAATCAGCCTCAATTCCCCACATGTTCAAGAAGAATGCTAGGTACACTTCACCAGGCTGTTTAGAAGAAAAGCTCAGAGTGCAAATCCATTTTCATTTTTAAAATATTCAAATTGTAAGCAATATAAAGAAATAGCACAAAACATTTTTTTTCACCATATTAGCACTGATAACTTTGGTGTCAGATACGCTATTACGACACAGTGTTTTTGTCTAGGTGTCAGATACAGTGATGACTGGTCTATTTCAAGATATTCCAAATCCTTTCCAAGATAAAAGGCACTCACACAAAAGGAGAAAATATTCCACTGCAATCATATTATCAAGCCAAGCCTACATCGCAAAATGCATTTTGTTTAGTTTCTCGCTATTATAATTAACTGCCTGACACTAGGGGGAAAAAACCTAATGAGTTATGCAAAGACAAGTTGCAGGCACTTTCAATTAACCAACATTTTTTTAGCACATTAAGCCAACTCATTAGCCAAGTGTCAGATAAAACCATCCTTCACTTTCACTCATGAGTTAATGCCAAGCATTAATTTATACCAGATTCCTTTCTCAGTCTGATTATATTTTTCATTTCAGCCTTTGAATCAATAACCCAACATTCCTAAAAGAAAATGATTTTCACAACTACCCAATATAACTTGTGAAATTCACGGGTTAACCCAAATGGCACATCATAACTACTGTCAACCACTGAGCTGGAAAATAAAGCCCTAGAATGCTCCGACTGGCAAAACGTTTTTTTCTAAAATGACATCCAAGAAATTTCCCACTTTCCGGAACTGAGACTGCTTTTCCCCTCTCAGGTGCCAATTATGAATGAAGTTAATGAGTATGCACGAATCCAAAGCAAGTGGAATGCAACAAAGCTTGAAAATCATGGCATGGGGTGCACATCAAATGACAGTCTCAAAGCCTAATACAAAGACGCATTCGTGTGGAGGCACAGTACCGTTTTGCGTACTAATGGAAGAGCTCAGAG